GGGGGAGGAAGTGGTCTAGGCCTAGTTGGGACAGTCACCCGAGGAGTTGCAGGCGTCCATTCTCCTTGGCCGGGCCAGCCAACAGCAAGAGGTCTGGGAGTTCCAGGGCTGGACTCGAGGCTGCCACCCCCATGGTGACCTTGTTGGCAACTTCTCCAAACCGGGTCACCTGGGACCAGAGATCAGAGATTAGAGGCAGGATACATGGGGACATTGGAAAGGAACCAGAGGTCAGGAATCTTAGTAGAATACAAGGTCACAAACCAAGAGAGTAAACATGGGGCTAGAGGCCAGATACCTTGGGATTAAAGTCAAGAACTGAGGGTGTGAAGTCAGGGAAACTGAGACAAAGGACTCCAAGGCCAGAGCTCACAGACAAGCCAAAGGGCCAGAGATATGGGGTGGGAGGTGGTCAGATGGCATCAGGTGCAGCTGGAGGTCCACAACCGGGCAAGGATTATGGGGAAATAGCTGGAATGGCAGAAATGGGGTTCCCCAAGACAGAAGGATGAAGGTCGGGCCCAGGCTCTGGGCCGAGGTGCCCAGACTTCACACCTGCACAAAGTTGCTCTCAAAGATAGGGAAGTCCCGCAGCTGGTCAAACTCGCCGCTCAGGAGGTGGCGTTGGAGCCGTCCAGGTCGTCCCTTGGGATACGCTGGAAACAGGGGACGTTCTAGAGGGACAAAGTTTGAGGGTCTGTTCCAAGAGATTGAGCCCAGACCCCCCAGAAGGTCGGGCCCAGAGCGGCACAGTGCTGAGGCGATGGTATGGGGTATCTCCGAAAAGCTGACGCCATGCCTTACTCTGCGCTCACCAGGTCCAACCCCTCCCGGCCTGGCTCTGCCTCCCATGTCCCATCTCACAAGTCCCCTCCTCACCTGCTCCACCGAGGGCTGGCTTAGGATCGTACCCCCGCTTCATCGCAAAGCCCAGAGCCCTGGTGGGAGCGAAGGGAGGAGCCGGGGTAGAAAACCACACTGCCGAACTGCGAGCGCTGTGACATCATAACGAGAAATCCAGATTTGATGACGTCATAGAAGTTCCTAGAATGGCGGCGTCACCTGAAAAGCAGGCCCTGGAGACCCGGATAAAGGGGCGGCAGTCCGATGACGTCAGGCCCTGGTGTCTGCGGATGCACGCCAATGCGCAGGCGCCAGGGGCC